GGGGGGGGGGGGGGGGGGAGCTTGGGGTAGACGAATGATTTTATGTTTCGTTTGTTTTCAAACTACAAGCAACCCAATTTCAACGTTATATTCTGTTTATTCTTTTTCTTTTGCGTGGAAAAACTGATAAAATTTAAGGACAGCAAAATGATAACCAAAATTTAAAGTCGATGAATAAATTCTGTTATGAAAAGCTTTTCCTTACATTTAGCCATGGGAAAGTAAAAAATATCATAGTTCATAAACAGGGGATATCCCTCTGCCTCTTTTTCCTACATAGGGAAACTTCGTCCGCCCACTCGAGACATTTTAGCATTCATACGGCAGTTTAAATTCGAAACTCGAAAGGAAAATTAAGAAGTCCTTGAGTGGCAACCTTTGTTACGCCCACTTTCTTTATAGACTTTATGAGTCCGCCTCGCCCCGCTTAGCTGGAAGGCGGGAGACAAGAGACGCGGACGAGAGTGATGAACTTGAGACAAGTCTAAGGTTAAGGTTTTATCATTTTAAAAAGGACTGTTTATTTTCTCTTAAGAGGGGGGAGGGCTAAGGTTTTTGTTGTAAATGGCGGAGGGTAGTGGGGTGATGAAAAATGTCAAATGGAGCTGGAGGACACAGAAAACTCCGAGTTTGTTTAATTAATATAGAACCATCAATACATTCCATTGCTATAAAGGCAACATATGTTCTTACTATAAGTGATACYTTTTCATTCCACTTTTGGAATACAAGTGATGAAAGGTCCCTTGTAATAGCGGTCTCAGTACACACCGGAAACTGGTCTGAAACCGGAAGTAAAAGTCAAAACTTCCCACCAGCCCCGGCGTTCAATAACGTCACGTGGTAGAGCACGCATGCGCAGTTGTCAAAAGTTGGGACTTGGAATTTTCCTTCCTTTGTCCTTGGTCGTCGCTCTTTGAACGAAGTCGACACTTAGAAAAATTTCGCTTCATTTTTCAAGAAATATGAACGGTGAATCTACATTGCTGGCAAACAACGACCACGAGGTAAAAAAGTCACAGAATATTTTCTCAAGCTCGTGAACTTGTGGGGGATTTTTTGGTGGTTTTATCGTATCTTTTTGGAATTTTCCTTGCCATTGAACTGCGTCTTGTCGTTGTAGTTGAAGAGAAAAGCCGAGAACGGAAGGCCAGCTAACGGAGAAGATAGCCGGCTTATGGTATGTGGACACTCTTAAGCCCTACGGATTTTGGATTTCTCTCTATATATCGTTAACTTTAGTGAATCTTCATGAAAATCTTCAGCTAAATGAAAATACTGGATTTTTTTTCTAGGGCGATAAGCAAATCAAGTCTCCAGGTAATGTGTGCTTTGTTGTGTGAAAGGTTGGACAACATATCACAATCGGTCACCGAAACACGTAGCGATTTTAAACTTCTCTCAAATATTAACCTTACGGATTTAATTTATACTAGGGGGCTAGACGTTTAGTGTAATCATTAGCAATTTTAATTTAGCTATCAGCTTTGAAGCTAGTAAACATTACAGTTGAAAAGATCCCTTGTCTATCAAGCACATGGACATTTTTATCCTAAATAACTTTCTTTCTACTCTCATTCATGCGATCATGGAATTCGAAGTCCAGGCAGGTAGCTTCAACTTGAATAGACATCTAAGTGTAATTCCATAGAATTAAACGAGAAAGAACAGTTATGACACTGTATTATTGCACGCTGTGGTTTAAAGTCGAGTATGTTAGAGCACATTTTATCTTGGCGTTCCACAATCGTATGATAACAGTCATCTGTTTCTTTCATTTAATTCTGTTTCTGGTACCCAAAGGGGTTTATTATTCTCGAAGATAATCGAAATACCCCCAGAAGCCTTTCAAGTGTTGTGTCAATTATTTTTTCTTGTAGTTGCATGTCTTGAATGCTATCGCATTTTAGAATCGAAACGAGTACTACAATCTTGTTGAAATCACTTGGGTAACTAGATTCATTAATAATAAGTGTTTCGAAATGAAATCAGATACTTTCAATACTTATATAACTCATCTAAAACAATTGAACTATTGACTGTTTCAACTCTATAACAAACCAGGTCTTATTCTATACCGTTGTACTGTAAACTGTATTTTTTTCCTGCATACTTGAGATAACATAGTGTTAACAATTAAATCCTGGCCTCTGTCCTCGCATTAAAAAAACAATTAGAATTAATTGCGCATCTTGTTCGTTTTTGTATGCTTTCAGAATTTAATTATCTAATCATTTTTAATTTTCAGGGCCTGAAAGAAAAAAGCTCAAAGTTGGATCAAATGATGTGGTAAACTTTGTTGTCTTTAAAATAATTTTTGAGGTCTTTTTTGTAGTATGAAATCAAAAAGGTGGATTATTCCAATGAGATGGACCTGATGGGGGTTTAATTTTTTGCTGATCTTTCAAATTCTCCTCCTTGATACCCTATACCTCAGAATTTAACTTATCAAATTCATTTCCTTATTCAAATGTTTTATCTCCTTTGAGAGTTGACTATAATGTGGCTAACGTGTGGTTCCATAAAATTTCCATACCCCTCCATGGACTTCCTTGGGAACCCAGGGGTAAAGTCCAGTTGCTTCTTTCTCGCTCCCAGAAAAAATACCCCTGGGCACAAGTCCTTTAGAGCTTGTTCTGGAAGGCCAAATTCAAATTAATGTCATGTTTACAATATACTTGATGCTTATTGGTTTACTCCAGTGGGTCGACCAATCAGGAACGAGATTAATTCAGACCTCAGGAACAAGCTCTATAAGACTTCGTGCTCAGAGCTATTTTTTCTGGGAGCAAGAAGGAGCAACAGAATTTTACCCCTGGGTTCCCGAGGATGCTCCATAAGATTTTTTTTCCTCTGACCCCCCATCCCCTGGGAATTTCTGATTCTCTCTATGGTGGAGTAGGGATATTTTCTAGAACCACACAGTTAGGTAATAAAGGGAACCACAGGTATCAAGAGGTAATAATTATGGGAAACAGCAAATTATTAGGAATAAGATAAAGGAACAGCACTTTATAGTAATATGTGTGGTTATTTGCTGCTTGCCAATATTACCTCTTTTAACATATACATATTTTTACAATTTTTTTTCCACATAAATTGATTTATCATCCATCTCAGATTGCCAAGAGTTCAGTCAAGTAAGTTTTTTTGATTTGTTTTATTCACCTTCTCTGAGAATCAGTGAAGAAAATAATTAATTGATGAGAGAAAATAGCAGTTATTAGAGTTACACTCTATTGCCTTCAAATAATTTTATTGTTTCAAGTCTAGGCATTTGGGTCAATACAATAAAATCAATAAATGTATAGAAACTGACCCTAATGAAGCAATATCGTTTGAAGGCAATAAAGTGTAGCTCTAATATCAGTTATGTACATTATTTATAAGAAGGAACATGAAAGCATTAGTTTTAGGGATTAGTGGAAATAAAAACGGCCAAACCCCCACCTCCATACCATTATTAAACCCATTTAAAGGCTGGGAATGCACTTAGAATATTATCAGACTCAAAGCCTAGGTCAGCCATATCACAAAACACTGTAAGCCCTCCCCTCCTGCTGTAAAAAGATTTTGCATACACCTCCACTATGACATGAATGAATGAAAACACACTTAGAATCCACTCAGTGCACTGGGAATCCTCAGACTCAAAGCCAAGGTATAGACTGTAAGCCCTCCCCTCCCAAATAAAAAGTTTTGATTACACCTCTATACCATGATCCATCCCCACCCCCACCCCCACAAAAATATTTTGCTTTACGCCTTTGCTATGGCCTTATAGACAAAAACACACTTGGAAACTACTCAGTGTATTTAGAATTCTCAGACTAAAAAACAAGGTTAAACATCCCACAAAGCACTGTAGGCTGTCCCCTCCCCCACTAAAACGTTTTGCTTACACCTCCAAGTATTATAATTCCTCCCAACCTCCCACCACCACACAAAAATATTTTCCTTATGTTTATACCTCTGCTATGGCCTTAGAAATAAAGAAACACTGGGAATCCACTCAGTGCATTTAGAATTAACAAACCCAAGGCCAAGGTCTTTTCACATTAACTAGTAAAGTCGTGGTAAAGCAACAAAATAAAACTACCAAGTAAACTAGTTTGACTACAAGTTCTTAAATAATGGGAATGATAAAAGTAGCTTCAACACCAAATAATGATAAATGATATATTCTTAACTAAAATTGGGAAACAGTTGCATGGTTTATAATAAAATGAAATATCTCTTCCCTTCAAATTTGTCTAATTTCTAGCATAATATGAAATTATGATTTGTCATACTGCACATATTTATAAAAAATCGAATTTTCTATAACAGCTGATAACAATATAGGATTCTACGAGATTAGTTTCTAGTTCCTTTAAGTTTTTTGTTATGATATTCATAAACCTCTTGGTATTGGTAGCTTGCTTTGGTTTCCTTTTTTTAACTGCAGAAGATATTTGCCAGTCACACAATGAAACATGGTTATGACTGAAAATCTTTTTCTGTCTAACAAACAAGGTGCATTCTGGTTTGGCTTCAGTAAAAAATCTAACAGGGTCTACATAAAGCAATATACTCGTACTGAAGCTAGAGTGCTCTGTTATTTTGGGAAATACATGTATAATTTACTTCTGCTGCAGATATGTACTGTACCTCTTTAACCAATCAAGAGGTTTATTTAAAATGACTTTTTCTATGGCAGCACTTAGGTGATAATATTTTTAAAAAGGTTACAATATATAAAAAGGGTTTATCAGATAGAATAAATACTTCATGTATTTACTTTGATATAGTCAATGGAGATCCAAAGATAAGTAGGGAAAAAAAGGTGCAGACAAGTGATTTTCTACACTTCTCAAGTGTTTTTTTAACAGTTTTTTTCAATCATCATAGACAAACATTAGCTACTTTTTAAAAAATTTTTTACTTCTCCATAATGTTTTTTTTTCTATTTCTTTTTTCATTATTCTCATTTTAGCTAATAAAATGTATGTGTGCCCATAATTACTAGCCTCACTGTATCTCTGCAGTGTTTAATATAAGAATGAAGGGTGGCAGTAATTTACCTTTGGGGAATTAAGTTTGTTCCCTAGACCCTGCATATTACATGTGAATAGACTTTAGGTCTTCCTATGATAGGAGAGTTTGTTAGGTTTCTCCCTTGATTAAATGTATTTCTTTGAGTATCCTCCCTCTATGAAACCTAACACAATAAAAAATTTAAAAAAGGGTTAAAGGGTATTTGTCTGAGTATCCTCCCTCTATAAAACCTAACACAAATTCTGATTGGATCTTTGAGTTAGCGCTGTCCTTACTTGATCAGCCCAAAGGTTGTTTCAGGTTATAGATAAAATCAAAGGTCTAATTTTAACAAGTTTTCAATATCTTATTTTCTAGAAGCCCACTTAACAGCCCTAAAGTCTCTCCAACTAAGTCATCTAGTAGTCACCCCCCAGTCAAGTTGATCATCAAGAAAGAAGCTGTCTCACCTTTAAAGAACCATGCTGTTGCCAAACCTCACAAACCACTTTCTCCCACCAAGAAAGCTACTGTTAAACCAGAACCAAAAAGCTCTCCTGTAAGTGATAGGCTTTTTGATTGTAATAAAATACAGTGTAAAATGAAGCTTGGATAAAATACCAAGAAAGAGTGGAATGACGAACAATTTACATTCTTAATATATTTCATTTATGTTCTTTGTTTTTTTCGTCATTTCTTTGTGTTTTTTTTATCCAGTCATATCTTTATATACTATGGTTTTTTTTCTTTGTTTACAATATCTTTTCTTCTTCTTTCTTTCTTAGGTCAAATCTGATACACCCAAGCCCAAAGCTTCTTCACAAGAAAGTGATGACGATGATGACATTCCTCTGGTAAGTACTTTATTAACAAATAGAGCTGTTTTCCTTGAGTAGGAAACAGTAGGGCAAATACATAGTAATACCTTACTGTACCTACAACTGTACTGGGATTAGATGAATCATTGGAATATAATTGGGAAGACATTTCAATGTCATGCTACCATGAACATACTGTAAGTCAGTACCAAATAATTCCCACTTGTACAAAGACCACTCTATGTATAAATGTGCATAGTTTATATAACTATCATGTGCAGCATCATACTTTTCGTGAATTTCTTTTGCTTAAATAAGTTGAGTCTTACTAATGCTTGTTTATCTTTGCAATTTTAGGCCAGGCGTGTCCAACAAAAGTAAGAAATCTCTTTCTAAATATTAGTGCTTAGAACAATTAGTGAATTAGCACTATATAGATAAATTTATTATTATTATTAATTTATTTATAATATCTGATAATAATTATATTAAATGCTTTTCATATTTATCTGGGATAGTTACTGTATTTTTTATCTTTGATTACTTGTTATTTCATAGGACACCAAAAGCAAAAGTAAAAACTGAGGGCAAGAATCCCATAACGCCATCAAACAAGCCAACAGCAGTCAAGAACTCTGCAATAAAAAAGGAGAAGAGTGACAAACCAGTAGTAAAGAAACCAGCTGTTAGTGATGATAGTGATGATGAGCCCTTGGTAGGTCAAAATAACAGAGATTTTAACTTGAGCATCACATATGGCATTTTTTTGAGGGCTGTGCAGTAGAGTCCTGTGATCTCAAAGTTTTTGGGGCCAGGGGAAAGATTCAGATCAACAGGGACTCAAGATATCGACTAAGAGAATAATTGTTAGTAGTGTTGCACTGATGCAAACTCACTGGAAGCTGTCTCAAACTCAAGATAACAGAAAGTTTGAGAGATATCCAGGGTTTGAGATAACGAGCTGGACTATAGATGTTTCAAAATTAGCTGGCAATATAATGTTATGTTTTTGCTTTATTTACTTTAAATGCTAGTTTTTTACCGAGATTTCAGTTCGTCTTTGAAAAGAACTACATGTATGCCATAGACCTTTTCTGAGATCAATAAACATGATACATTTGGGTCTACGCGTAGCATGAAGCTATGCAAACAACACCATTTTACACATGATCAGAAAATATGTTTGTGTGCAAGAATCTATATATCCTGTTTATTAAACTCAGAAAAGACCTCTATGAAGGGGATTCAGTAATTTTCAAAGTAAGAGGCTGTCTTGACAAAATAAGCAGCTGTTTTTGCACTAGAGTAATATTAAGGGTTTTCAATTTGATCGTGAAATACAGTAGCTGGCAGTGAAGTATCTGTGATCAACTGCTGTTAGCCACCTTCTATTGAAACCTTTATATGCAGGATGACTGTTAATTAATCCAATCTAACAGAATATTTTTCTTTTCTTTTTATATCCTCTGCCGATGTCATGGTGTTTCCATTGTGATGTAAAGTCTAACAGGTATGGCAGTTGCAGATAAAAAACTGAGATTTTTTTCAATAAGAGGAGAAACAAAGATATTTAGATTTTTATTACCTCTAAATGTTTGTAAAGCGCTGTTGAACTAAAAGAATTAGCGCTACATATAAAATATAATTTATTATTATTTTTCTTCTTCAGAATTGCAAAGCCTAAACCAACTTCTAAAACACCAGACAAGAAGCCCGGTAGTTCTTCTGAGAAAAAGAAGAAGAAAGATGCACAGGTATGCTTGTAACTCACACTACCATGTACAATACATGTGCACAATCATGCTCAGCTTCAGTTAATGACACATGGGCTCACTGCTGCAATGCTTGCCTGCTGCTACATGTAATTAAACATTCTGTGGACTTTAGTGTCTTGCTTTGTTGTGTTTACTTTGAGTGTATGGATGCTTACAGTTGATTTCATAAAACTTTGGCCACTCCTTGTCTGAAGTTCATTTGCAAGGTCACAACTTTGTAATCAATTTCACTATGAAGTTCCGACGGTTGTCGGCAATCTTTCACACTGATAATACAGTAGCTTCTAAAACTCATCAAATCTACCATTCAAATTCATTTTCAAAGTGAATTTTATTGCGACAAAAGGAATATGACTGACTCTGTATGTTGTCTGGAATACAGTTTTCGAAAAGTATATGGTGTAAAGAAGCAATTCCAGTAAACATTTGAATTCTAGACATAAACAAGTCACGGTTGATTGAACCAATTTGACAAAAAGTTCGCTAGTTCAGGACCAACTTGGAGAACTTGGGAACTATCTTCAGAATTAAAGTGGCCAAAGTTTTGTTAAACCAACTGTATTGCTAAACATACAATAAAGAGACTTAATTTGAATGCTGCAGACCAGACATTTTTTGGGGTAATGGGAGCATGTCCCACATAGACCCTGCACAGGCTGCTGTACGTTTGTTAGGGTGGGGTCCTACCCTATGCATCATCTACACCACCACGTTGGTGGTATTTTTACAAAAAAGTTGTTATTAGCTTCCTTCCTTGATACCACCACCACAGCTGCTATTTCTTTGTCTTTTGACTCTAGTGAGAATTATTGTAAACCATCATTGGAATAAACCTTGATTTTATTATATTTTTCAAAGGAGAGGAAAAGAAAGAGTATCAATAAAGAAAGTGATAGTGAGGATGAATACAAACCATTGGTAAGACTCTGCCTTATTTAATGTTTTCTTTTACACTCATTCATAAAATTTTTCATCTGCATTTGGTTATAGTCGATAATGATCTTGATCATGGTGTAGTATTTCATTCTTATACCTGTTGTTGAAAACTAATGTATGTCCACTCATTTTGCAGGCAAAATTAGCAAAGAAGAGTTCAGGGAAGACAGTGAAATCAGAAACTAAAGATGAAAAACCCAAAAAGAAAATAAAAAGTGAAAAAGATAAAAAAGGCAAAGGGAAAGGTCCTAAATCTTCAGAAAAAACAGATGTAAGCTCCTTTATACCTTTATTCCTCAATTTAGCATAGACAAATTCAGCTAAGTCTTGTTATTGCAAGCCTCCTGGGAATCAGGGGAAAGGTTCAAAATAATGCGATATTTCAAGATACCCAGGGTAAATTTGACCTCTTTACATTGGGCGTAATGATTACCCATTCCAGACCACTTGTCATTCCCTAGAGTATCATTTCTTTGTTTAACGGTTGCACATTGGAAGACTCATGAACATGGATAGAACTCAAACAATGAGTCTAATTCTCGGGGGAATGACAGATGGTTGGAAATGGGGGGAAATTACTCCCAAGGTAAAGAGATTTATTAAAGTGACAAAAGTTCACAGGATGTGTGCTTAAGTTTAATAYATGCAGGATTCAAGAAAAAAAGACTCCACTGTATAACGTTTGTTTCTGCGACCAACTGTTTCCAGGCGCAACATTGTATTCCATTTTTTCTGACCCCACCTTCCAAGGGGTCCTATAAATTCTATGTATTTTACAATCAAAGTTAAAAAAATGCGAATGCCTAAAATATGTCTGGCAATCACATGACAGTTAATTAGAAATGAATTGTTCAGAACATGATACTTGCCATTCCAGACATTTTAAAGGGGTTCACGGTTTTCTTACTTTGACTGTTAACTCTATCATGCCTCTGGATTTTTAATTGCTACAGTAGGAAGGATTTCTTAATGTCACCTACAACATTTTTTGTTTCCTTAGGGAACAGGAAAAAAGAAAAAGAAAAAGGAAGAAGAAGAAAAGGAAGTCTGGAAATGGTAAATGCTTATTTTTCAGATTCATTTTACATTAATTACAAATGGTGATCGATGATTGAGGAAATGCACAATGGTCATGCATCTATCTAAACAAGAATAATCAAGCGTTTTGAATGGTTTTGTCGACTGTGTGAACACTAAATTTCTCAATAACAATGTCTGTGTTATTGACAAGAATAATGATAAGAAATACAAGTCATTCCAGCTATTCTTGCATTTGGAATGACCTATCTCCTATCACTTATCCCATACCTATCGCGGTTCTACCCTTCAGCCTTTTTGAAATAGCTGTATATAATATAAGGTCATTTTGCTTACAGGTGGGAAGAAAAGCAGCATGAAGACGGCAGAAAATGGACCACGTTAGAACACCATGTAAGTCAATCCAATCAACCAGAATAGACATGTACTCTTAATTTAACAAATACATTTCCAGGGAATAAAATAATGGCAGATCACTTTTTAGCTCAGTTATCTCATTTCTGCCTAAACATTACTGGTGAAAATGACCAGCAAGGCAAAGATTTGACCAGACAAAAAGTCTTATTCTGGCCAGACATTGTCTGATTTCAGGCTGTTATTTTAAGCCCTGGCCTTCTGGACCAATGATATTGACTACATGAACACGTGTTCTTCATTCTAAAAATACAGAATGTCCAAACTACATTCCATGAGGCTGTCCAGTCTATCAGCTATTATTGTTAGCCCTGGATTATTGATTTATTCTATATTGTAAGAGCATTGAGATATTATGTAATGCGCTAGAATAAAATTATTATTATTATCGTTATTTGAATACTGATGTACCTTGGCATTTGATACTTTATAATAAATCCTTGAATGCTTTATGTTCTAGGGTCCTTACTTACCTCCAGATTATGAACCATTACCAGACAATGTTAAATTCTACTATGATGGTGAGTTACTGTTCGGGGGGGGGGGGGGGGTACTCCCCTATATCCACTATACAAGTACGTGCTGCCAACAGGGTATGGTTTTCAGCGATTCTACTCTGGAGCAGGGTATATAAAATCGCGCTCCCTCTGGGACAGGGTATATGAAATCACCCTCTCTCCTCTCTGGAACAGGGTATCAATTTTGGCATTACCGGAAAAGGGTATGATTTTCAGCAATCTTGCTCTGAAAATCAGCGATTTTACTCTGGAACAGGGTCAGGGTTCAGAGGGCTCAGCAGCACATCCCTACCCTAAACGGGGAGGAGTAAACCCCCACCCCCCCTCATGTTATTAGTCAAGAAATTCAAAACACAGCAATGCCTAATGGGAAGGAATGGTGGAATAGTGTGATATACAACACAACTTTCTTGTATTCTGATTGGCTGTATTTTTATAGTGTGGGATAAATATATTAATTTTTTAAGTCAGAGTTTGCATTCTTTCTAATTTTGTATTTGTACTTGTTAGGAAAACCCTTTAAGCTGAGCATGGCATCAGAAGAGGTAATCCCAACAACTTAATTTCGTTTATTTGTCTCATTTTTATTTATCTGTTTATTCCTTCCTTCATATTTTTATTCATTCTTCATTACCCTCCACCTGGTCTGAAAATATTCATGCATCATCATTTCCTACTGTTAAACAAAGAAATGATACTCAAGGGAATAACATGTGGTTTGATTCACCATCATCATTACCACCACCACCATCATTATTGTCAAACCACCACTAGCATCATCACTGTTACAGCTGTAACCAAATTCAAAGCAATTTAAAGTAAATTACTTATGGCTGAAGAAACATTTAGTTTGTAATCGTGACACCAACCTACAAAACAACACTTGACAAGTTACGATGTTTTAATTCACATGTTGTAATCTTCAGATTGCAGGATTTTATGCCAAAATGTTACAGCATGACTATACAGGAAAAGAGATCTTTAACGAGAATTTCTTTCATGACTGGAGAAAGGAGATGACAGAAGAAGAAAGGAAGACCATTAAGGACTTGAAGAAGTGTGACTTTAAGGAGATGTTCAGTTACTATGATCAGGTATTCACTATCAAAAAATCAACATTAATTGTAAAATATGAAAAAAAAATTTCTCTTTAAAAACGTATTTCATTGCACAATTATTTTTCCCCATTTTTACCCTGGTCTAAAGAACAAAGAGTTAGTCCAAGAAGGGACATCATTGCATGAGAAAATTCCAAGTTTTAGGTTCTTGGTGAAGAGATGACAAAATCTCCAATATTTTGACTTTATTTCAAAGTCATAATCATGCAATGAATACGATACAAGATGTGGCTTATATACCAACTATGGAAGTTTGTATCAAATTCTTGCACTCGTGCTAATTTTGGACCCTAAGTTTTTCTATAGCTGATAGCAGAAACATTTCACTTTATAGATGACCAGAACAAATTTATTTAGGAATCACCATCTTCCCTAGTATCATGTTACCAAATTTTCCATAATCTGTCAGTAATATAGATGTTTTATTGCAGAAAAACGAGGAACGTAAGAATATGACAAAAGAAGAAAAACAAGTAATCAAAAAAAATAATGAAGTAATCCTTAATGAATATGGTTATTGCGTTATGGATGGTCACAAACAGAGAGTAGGGAACTTTAAGATTGAACCTCCAGGTCTCTTTCGTGGCCGTGGAGACCACCCTAAACAAGGCAAACTCAAGAAGAGGGTGATGCCAGAAGATATCATTATTAATATTGGAAAGTAAGGACTTGACTCAACATTTCTTTTCTGTGCAGTATGTTTGTACACAGTCAGAAGAGTAGAGTTTTTTGTATCACTTGGAAATATTTCTGTGACAAGATCTTTTCCAAGGGTTGTGTGCTTGCAAAAAAATCACATGTTTAGATTCGAAAATGAGGCATTTTTGGGCAAAACTACAATTAAACTGGCAATTATAAACTAGTCTGAAATAGCCCATTCTGCCTGCAAATTAGCCTTGTTTTGGGAGCAATCTTTTTGCTGGGAATGATAAACTG